CTGTCTGCCCAGCCCCTCTTGCCTCCTTGGTGCCGCTAGAGGACTCTGCCTCTGCTAAAGGGGGCTGGTAGGTACTAAGAGTCAATGCAGTAGACCCTGGCTGTTATGGGCCAAGCCCCACCCGGTGCCTCTGGGAAGGGTTTTTAACATTGCTACATGTGCTGTGGTTCCTGGGGTGCCCTCCACTGCCCTCTGCTCAGTAACAGGGCCTTGCTAATCGGGTTGTCACTTGACAGAAGTGCCTGGGATTTAAGTCACTATCCTGGCTTTGCCCAACCTCGGCAACTTGTAAGACTGATAATGAAATAAATCATGTTAATCCTAGCTGTGTGCAGTCTCTCTCACCCTTCTGTGCCCAGCTCAGTCTTCCCTGGGGCAAGGGCAGGGTGCATTAGGACTGCCTTTGTCCCCCAGCTTGGGGCCATCGGTCCTGTCTCCCCTCTGCGGGCTGGGCACAGCTGTGGCGAGGCTGGGCAGCTGAACAGTGTTGGCTTTCATGAGGAGGCAGAAGGGAGAGAGGCTGGTCTTAGATGCACACAGACAGTGGGGGTTGGCTGGGAATGAGGCACAGGGAGCACAAAGCCTGTCATCCCCCAAGAACTGGCCACAGGCCCACAGGTGTGCCCAGCCCAATCCAATCAGACTTCTCGGCAAGACCCAGAGTTCTCTAGGGAAGGCCACCTTCAGGTCAGTGCCGCTTTGAACACAAGGTTAGAGCTGATACTCAAGAATCTCTTCAGGCCAACAGGGGCTTGGATGGCTACATGGGGAACTTCCCAGGCCTAACACAGTCAGCATTTCACCATGGCCTTGGCACTGAAGGGGGAAGACTGGAAAGAAAGGGGCGGGGACTCGGAAGAGAAATAGTCATCTATTTGGGCCAAGGTTTTCCCCACCCACCTCTACTTACCGAAGTACCAAGTACGTGCTGCAGCTAAAGCCTCAAGTGTCTCTGCCTGGAACTCCTGAGGTCATTCACCACAAACACAAAGCTTGACCTAAACAGCATGACATATGCCACTGCTTCCTGGCCCAGCTTGCCTCCCACGCAGAAAGTGACACCAGTGGAAGAGGCAAGGGGCATTTGCTAAGAGTAGTGTTTCCAACTAAGTAAGCCGGTGTCAGTGCCCAGATCCGTGGGCCCCAGGAGCTGCCTGTCCCACTTGGAAAGCGTCCAAGGGTCTGGGAGGCAGGATTTTGTCCTTAGCTTCATCTCTCTCAAGCAGTGGGAACTGTGGGAACCTGTCTAAACCTCTGAGTTAGCCCAGCCTGACACGTGGGACCCACCCATGCCCTGTTAGCTTGGACACATGCAGCTTCCAGTGATTTCTGGTGGTCCCTACTGTAAAATAAGTGTGTTCTCTGAACTCTCTGCCCCATGACTGGCATCAGGCTGGGCCTGGGGCCTGCTCAGCACTCAAAAGCTACACAGGCTTGGGGAGCCAACCAGCCCCAGGTACCCACACCCATCATGGGGTGTCAGCTACATGCTGGGGGCTCAACTCTGGCCCACTGACTCTGGAGTGACACAAAGCAGCTGCCAGAGCAAAGTGCCAGAAAGGGTCAAAACATTTTATTCTCTTAATTTTTTTTCTTTTTTAATAAAGTTAAACAGTAAAACAAGAATTCACAAGCTGCCCGTCCACCCGCTGCCTCCCTCCCCTACCCGCAGTCTTCAGCGCTGGCTCCCTTTCCTTCACCCCACTCACACAGACACAGGGTATCCAACTGAGAAAATGAAACTGCTCTAAGTATGTGGAGACATGATGATGGGAGGAGGTGAATTGTGTCCACATTCGAGGTTAAACTGAGCAAGTCTGCATTTTCTGGGTTCTGGATGGTTTCCTTTCATTAGCCAAATTGAAAAAAGAAATTCCCTGGACCAGATGCTGTAGGGAAAAGAAGGGCTTGTTAGCTGGCTCTCAGAGTTTTCTAGGGACGATCACTTTACCCTGATTACGGAAAGTCTTCAAGGGCTACTTTCAACTCAAACAGAAAAACCTCTAATGGTACCATATAGGCTGGTGGGCCCTTGGCTGTAGAAGGAAGCACGTGAGCAGGTTGTATGTGTGTAGTTTTAACACCTTCACTCTTGCAGAGAAGCTCTGGTACTAGGCAGCTCGGAGACGCCTCCCTAACACTGTGCAGATGTGGCACTAATGTTCCCAAGGTTAGGTGTGCCCGGAAACCTCCCCGTCTCCATCCCCAGCAGCACCTGAGTGGACAGATGTCCTGCTAGATGAGAATTCTGCTGCTTCCACTCATGGGCCCCTCTGACTCCCAAAGTGCTGCCTAACGGGGGAGTCACTGTGTTGGCTTATGGTCTGGGAACTAAGGCACACTCACCTTCAAAGCTGAAGCCCCCAGGACCGCCAAAGAATGCTTTGAAGATATTGTTTGCATCAAAATCTGTGGAGCAAAGTGAGAAGCAGAGAAGGCAGAAAAAGGTGAAAAAATCAGAAGTGTTTGAAGAACTTATCAGTGAATATAGGTCTCCAAAGCTTTCCCAGATAGTTATCACGTCCCTCCTTCCCACAAACTTCACAGACGACAGGCGATCCCAACTCCTAGGATGTGTTCTCCTCTTTCCAAGCCTGGTCCCAAAGGAAAGCCTTCTTTGCCTCAACCCACTTCGCTGGGCCGCCTTCTCAACAACTGGACATGCCATTTGCACTTTATGACATAAGACTTTCTCCACACTCTGTCTCCCCATAATGCTGGGGCTGCTATTGAAAAGGCTAAAATTTATCACTTAAATGCTACCAAGACTGTAGGTAAGAATAAGACCTATGGTTTACTGCATCTGTTTGATGCCATGCTCTGTCTACACTGTATCCCAGAAAAAAAAGCCATGGTTCATTAAGCATCTTCCAGGTGCCAATCATGGTGCTGGGTACTCTGCATACATTATATCGTTCCCACTTTATACTCAACAAAACCTAAGCAGGGAGCTCAAGTAACTTGCCCAAGATCCCGTGACCAGTGAAAGCAACAGAACCAAACATTCCAACTCCTGTCTGCCTCCAGCGCTGCAGGTCTCATGTCCCCAGCCCTGCCTACCTCCCAAGCTGCAGAGAAGGATTTATCTGCACCAGCCAATCCCATAGGCACATGGTGTCAAAAAGTGAATTCTCTGCCTGTGGGTCTGCTCATCTTCCTGGGTCTCCTAGTTCAGTGAATGGCCCTAGCGAGTCAGCTATGCCAAAGCCTCTCAGCTTAGTCCTTTTCCTCTTGCAACACATTCAGCAACCAACTCCTGCTGATTCTAACACTATCTCCCAATTATGCCTGCCCATCCTCTCCTAGTTACTGTGTCTTCCCTCCTCTCTTCACCCTTTCCAAACCAGCTCTCCCCACTGCCATCGCAAATATATTTCTAGAGCCTAAATTTGGTCCGTAGCTCCCCTACTTAACTCCCTTCAACAGCTATTTATAGCTCTTCTCAACTGCTGGGCAGAGCAATGTTTATTACTGGTAAACCTAGGTTTTTAAAACACACACGCACATCCCCTGAACTGGAGAGGTCAGAATTATCTATATAGCATCATCAATCTTATTTTAAATTCCAACAGATTTTCTCAGTTGAAGAGAAAAGGCAGGCATTAGAGGCAGTGGTCTGAGAACTGTGCATAGTTCAGGGCTTCTTTTATTTCCAACTGAGCTCACAGCGAGCAATGCTCACAGCTGTGCTTCACGTCTAAATCTTCTGGGGAAACTGAATCCTGTGAGGGCTTACAGGAATGTCTGAGATGTATAAATAATCACTTAGCAAACACTTTGCAGTGGGAGAAAAAAGAACTTCTAGCCAAAAGGGAAACCTTCTATTCCTTCCTCTAGCCTCTAAGGCCTGCCAAGGTCTGACCCAGCAACTGTGTGGACCTCACCACCCCGTGCCTGGAGCACCCTCTTTCCTCCTAGCCTGTGCCCCTTGTAACTCCTCAAAGGTGCTATGCTTTCCTGCACATCCAAGCCCTTGTTAGCACTTGCCTCCTTGGCACCCACTCTGCACCCTGGGCACCTGCTATGCTTAATTGCCCTCGTTGGACTCTGTATCTATTAGACCATGGGTCAGATTTGGCCTGTGGGCTAGAGTTTGCAAACCCCTGGACTGTGGGTTCCTGGAGGTCAGGGAACCTGTCTGATTCACGTTTGTTATTTTCTGCACCTATCACAGTACCTCACATTTCAAGGCACTCATCAAGGTGCACTCTACAAATTGCTGTACATCATACACTGGCTGATCACGTAAAAACTCCTTGTGGAGTGTCTTTAGAAAAAAATGCCAACATTTCACAGCTGTCGGATTCACCCCAGGCTGCCCCTACTTGCTGCCAACTCACCACCCATGTTCATGCCCTCTTCATCCAGGTCCTGTCCACTGTCATAGCGAGTCTTTTTCTTGGGGTCAGAGAGAATGGTAAAAGCTTCTCCGACTTCTTTGAACTTTTTCTCCTCTTCCTTCTGAACTTCAGCACTAGCTCCACTGTGCCGATCTAGAGGGAGTACAGGAAGAACTCTGTCTCAAGAAAATCTTACATCTGATTTCAGAATTTGGTACTTCCCCAAATTTGGAAGGTACAGAACTTAGCAACACCTTATTCCAGCTGAAGAGCCTCTCTGAGGCCTTCACACTAGACTGAGCTTGGCAGCTCTACCTGGCTTATCTCCCCACCTGGATGGTGCATCAAGGCCCGTTTCCGATAAGCTTTCTTGATCTCGTCCTCAGAGGCATTCTTGTCTACTCCAAGAATCTTGTAGTAATCTTTCCTCTTACTCTTCTTCAGTTCCATCTGTGCATTTTTTAGGAGCTGTTTGTGTTCTAGAGGAAGATATCTAGTGTCAATGAACAAGTCTGATTCTGGCTTCCCCTACCAGGTCCCAGCCCTGAAGCCCTAAAGTTAGAAGCCTTGTTAACCATATCAGGGGCTTTTATGGTGTTTTCTTCTGGAGGTTAAAAAAAATCTATCCATACTTAGGCTCTTCACATCAGCCTCATCACACAGAAGAAGTGAAAGTGACAGGGAGGATGAAGGACCAGAAAACAGGTGCCTTGTCACACACTCGAGATCTCTGTTCACTTCTTCCTGGCTGGTGATCAAATAAGCTCCAGGTACATCCCTGAACCAAACTACTCCTGTGTCTAGTTTTAGGACTTACAAGTCAGACCACACGGTTCCCTGAGAAACATGCTCTCAAACTTCTTTACCTTTTGTTTTCTCCGTCTGATACACTTTTTCATAGTCCCGTACTGCTTCTTCATACTGTTCTGTGTCCATGTAACTGAGAAGGAAATACAGGTGGTACAGTGACATAAACAGCAATGGCTTCAGTATCACTCCAGGGGAAGAAGCATGGCTCAAGCAAGAGACACACTTTTGGTTGAGATGCTTCATGAAACAGGAGTCCTTAAGCTAGCAGTGACAAAAATTAACCTCCAGTTTCTCAGGAAAAAAGAAACAGGTCTCATGCCACTTGCACCTAACCAGCAAAGTGATACTCTGCTCTGAGTAGAAAGCAATCAAAGGCAGAAAAAGTTCCTTCTGATTTCACTCAGAGCCATCGAGAGGCATCTGGACTGCCTTAGGAGAGACGATGTGAAGGCACCTACTTGATTATTTGTGATTAAAACACAGGAGAAAAATTATCAAGTTAGATCAATGGATATGGAAGAGCTCTGAAAAGCCAGAGTGCAATCAACATGCAGGGCTAGCTCCAACCCAGAAGAGAAGTGGGATCAGTGAGCCACTAGAAGGATCAAGTTCAAGGCAGTGGCTGCTGGCAAATGCTTTCATTAAGACTAATCAATCTGAGAGATGTGGGTTAGTGAGACAGAAAAGGAGATTCTAAACAGAGGCTTGCTCCTATTTCCACAGCACAGAAGAGAGAGGTCCTGGCCCAAGATGAGAGGAAACCAGCGTGACAGGCTGATCGCCAACCTTTTAAGTGTCTCTTCCACAGAAGTAAAGTGGCATTTTCCTGATAGTATCACTGGCTCCAAGACTGGCCTACAGATTAAACAGACTGTGGTAGCGGTTCCAGAGACAGCCACCATCAGCTGGGGATGGGAAACGACCAAAGTGCAGCCAGCCACTGCACAACAGAATTCAGTTTACTACACTGCTGCTACACAAGCCCACCTTTGCAAACGTCACAGAGCCCCACCAGGCTTAGAGGCCAGGGCAAGGCGAGCGTTACTGATACGGCTGGCAAAAGAGAAGCCCAACATTTTAGGTATCTCTGCTTTTCTGGCCACATCTTGATTTATGACTTTAAAAAATGGTGGCAAATCAATGCTCCATATACAGAGCACAAGTGCTACTCTAGGAGCACAGAGAACCCATTTACAGGATGGAATATAATATAAACAGAAGTAAAACTGATGGCTATGGGTGTGGAATGATCTGACAACCAACCAACCAACCAACCTCGATGGACCTCCAGGCCTTTATAATTAATGTATCAAACAAGCCTATATTACAGTGATTTGCATTTTTATCTCACACTTTTAAAATTCAAGAACACCCTTACATTAAAATAATTTTTTTAAATTGAAGAAAAAGTAGAAAAGTAAGTAGAGCTTTAGAGAAAATGGGAAACTCCAGTCCATGATGAGAGATGTAGCAAAAGTCTGGCCCCTCCCCACCTTTCGGGGTAAGCTGAGGCAGACTAGGGCAGCAGTCAGCCTCTGGTAAGGCTTTGGCTTGAACTAATCTCCAGTACTTCTTGCCAATCCCAGGTGCTTGAGTGGCCTGTTGCCAAGTCCTCAGCCAACTGTGTCAAACAGTGCATGCTGTCCCCTGTGGCAGGATCTCATGGCAGAGCCACTCAGAGGACAGTTCTGTTTCAGCCACAAAGATAAGCAGTTGTCTGATCAAAGCAATTCATAATTATTGTTTATTGTGCACACATGAAAAATATAATACTCCAACGCATCACCCTCCTAACAAATGAAGGATTTTTTGTTTTCTCCCCACTCCGTTTAAACACTGCTGTGTTCCAATAAGCTGATATAGTATCATGTATCTAGCCACCACGTCCCCACTAGACATTCAGGTGATTCTTTTTTGTTATTAAAGATAACACCACAGTAAACACATACAGCATTTTGTGTCTGTTAATATAAGCCTTTAGCTGGGTCAAAGGGTACTCGTTTGTCTTCTAAAGCTTCCGTGTTTGTCTGCAAGTGGTTTGCAAAGAGATGACTGACAGCTGGTCTCAAAGAATCTGTAGTATCATTCTACATAGTTTCTGTTTGACAGACTTAGTCATCTACGTAGAAATTCACTTGAAAAAAAAAAAGCACTAGACACAGGGGTAGTTTTCCTACTTTTTTGAAAACATGGATAATTTTGGGAAAACTAAATGGGAGGTGGACTATGCTCTGGACCACTGATGAGACTAGGGAGCTGAAGGAACTATGGGCTCATCAGGTGTCACCACAGCACCTGCTCTTTGGCTGTAAGGTTTCCCGACAAGGAATGGAATGGGTGCTGGAGAACCGGTATCAAACTTTAGGAACTTTAAAGACAGGACGTTCTTCTTTGTCTGGGAAATAATCTGAAATAAGAAAAAATACATTTTGGAGAGAGGTCTTTCCTAGCCCTTGCTAAGGTTCCTATCTGGAGAAAAGTGGTAGGTTCAAGAGTAAGATGAACAAGTACGCTGGGGAGCACCTGACTCGGAAAGCAAATCTGAGCACTAGATCTAGGCAGGCATGTCCTGGCTCATGTATCACCTGTCAGACAAGGATACTTCAAAAGGGGCTTCCTCATACTGCTGGGAGGCTGAGCCAGATTAAATCTCTTCCTACCATAAGACTGTCTTCCCTAAAACAGAAAAACAGGATAAGCACAACTCTCAACTATCTCCAAGAGATACTTTTAATTTTTCTTCTTCCAAGCACCATACATTCATTCAACAAAACACTGAGTGAGTACCTACTGTGTGCCAAGCACTGTGCCAAGTTAGAGCAAAAGTGTACAATACAAAATAAAATCTCCAAAGGAAATGGATTTAAACTTAAACAAAATGAATTTGGGTCAGACATCAGAGGAAACTTACTGACCGTGAGGGGCGTAAGACACAGGCATGGGAGACTGAGGGAGCTTGCTTGTGCAATCTCCTCCGCTGGAGGTCTATAAAGATAGCCTAGGGCTGGAACAATCCCACCTAGAGGCAGGGGGAAGGACCAAATGACCTCACAACATCCCTGGGTCTGCTCCCTCATCTATAATGCAATTCCCTTGGTAGGCCAGCAGCAACTCCCTCTTCCCCCCACCTACAAGAGGCACTTACCACTGAGCTCTTCTCAAGTAGGCTTTTATGTAAGTGTCATCAAGCTTCACTGCATTTGTGCAGTCTTCTATTGCATCATCTAGTTTCCTAAGCTTCAGGAGAGAGAGAGCAGTCACACTTCACATCTTGGGTGATTGAGGGAGCCCAGAAGCTGTGGGCATGGCTTCAAAATTCTGAGAGGATGAGTCATGCTGGACCCCTAACTACCACACCCATTCTTAGTCGTGGGAAACCTAGTATCTCCAAATTCAAAACTGACTTATTTTCTAGTTTTTTTGGGAGGGGAAGTTAATTAGGTTTATTTATTTATTTAGTGGAGGTATTGGGGACTGGACCCAGGATCGCCTGCATGTTAAGCACGCACTCTTCTACTGAGTTATACCCTTTCCTCTATTTTCTAATGATGGAAGCCAGGCACACTTATTTGCAAAAATAAACTACCTCTACCATCCCAGGTTAGTGCCTAACCAAGACATGGAAGTAGTAAGGGTGGTTCTTATCCTCTGTTCTTCTAGAGGCCAACTAGAGGGATCAGAATTATTGTGATTTTTTTTTTAACTACTATGACTCTGCAACAGCAAGGAGCCTATTCTTGTTTCTTATGGTTGTGGAGGACAGCAGTGGGCACTCAGGACATTTTCAGCTGAGCGTGGTGACCATGAGTTATGCTGGAGACAGAAACTAAGCTTGCCTCATACTCTAATTTCCTCCAAATCACTCCTTAAAAAAAAAACAAAAACAAAAACAAAAAAACACGCACATAGGCAAAAAGTAGCAATACTTAAAATGCTTTAAAAATTGTCCCAAAGCCTCTAGCCATTCTCTTACTGGAAGAAAGGATCTTGAGGAAGAACAGGTGGGAATGTCCTTCCAAATTGTCCCTCAAGTGCCCCTAAATTGCACAGAAAAATAAAAGCTTGTCTCTCAGAGGGAAGTTCCTAAAAAGCTGAAATATCAACTGTTTCTCTTCTCATCTGGTTTACACTCACTGGGAAAATTTCCCAAAACCTCTTTGTTGTCCCTTAAACATATCTCCATAGGCCCCAAGACCCAGACCAAGTGCTTACCTTGGAATTAACCGTACCCCGATTACAGTAGAGTTTAGCATTTGTTTTTATATTGTTGGGGTCTATCCTCAGGGCTTCTGTGTACAGTTCATATGCTAGCTTGTAATTTCCTTCCTTAAATGCTTTATTCCCATCTTCTTTCTTTGCTTTAAGTGCTTTGGCATTCTACAGAGAAAAGCAGGCGGAGGTCAGTTCACATCCAGAAAGCCTCAGACAACTACACAGAGAGGCCAGAGTCTATTTTCAACTTCTTAGATCTCAGTAGTTTAGCATCACATAGCCCCTACCCTGCCCATCCCCACCACCTGGGCTATTTGTTGCTCGCTGGTGCTTCCTACAGAGTGGACAGGGGAAACCAAGACTTACAAAGGAATACCAATGAGACTTGTGTTACCCAAGGTTTACCTTCACTCCCCAGGATAAGCATTACTATCTTTTCTTCACTGAAGGAAGAAAAAAATAAAGAACACACTCAGATGTTAAAGGATCTGACTCTACGTGATCACAGTTACCTTTAGGCATATAAAAATTGTCCTGAAATAATTTCTAATGAAAGGACCAAACATCCTGACAAAGTGGGAAGAAGTGCTATCGCATTCCTTGTGATTCCAAAACCTTCCACCCTAACTCTCTTTAAGGCTCAAAAAAGCAGCTTTCTTTCCTCCCAGATCTGGCACCTAGAACTTACTCTGCAAGCAACGCAGGCCTTCTCGTGGTCAGGAGCCATCCTGAGAGCCTGTACAAAAAACTGAACCGCCTTCTCAATACAATCTTCATAATAAAGGCAAAGACCTCGTACATACAGAGCATCTGCATTGGTGGAATCCATTCGTAAAATGTCACTGCAACAGCCAGAAAGGGGCACATTCAGCTATGGCTTGAATATCCCCACCATTACTATCATTTAGCCAGTTTTTTTCTTGACCATGTGCCTAATATGGAAAGTATCCAAAGGAAGACAGATTTCTAAGAGCTCTTCCCAGCCCATCCCCAAATAAATCACTTTTATTTATTTTTACACACTTCTTGTGTCTTGCAATCTTTATTAGAATAGGGGTTGGCAAATACAGCCCACAGGGCCAAATCCTACCTGCTGCTGGTTTTTGTAAATAAAGTGTTATTGAAACCCAGCCACCCCGTTCATTTATCTATAATCTATGGCTGCTTTTACACTATAGTGACAGAGTTGAATTACTGTTAATGGGGACCATATGGCCCATAAAGCCCAAAATTTTGTATCCAGCCCTTTATAGTTTGCAAACCCCTTGGGTACAGAGAAAACAATACTTAAAAAACAAAAAACAAAAAATTCATGTTATCTGTTTCTTCACATACAGCTCAAGTACCTACTGTATTACTGTATGTACCCTTGGGTTTTGGACCTGGTCTAACCTTTGGCTTTAAGTCCCAAGAAAGTCTGATCACCCTGGATGGCCTACCTACAGGACTATGAGGCAACCCCTGTTGTAGAGAGCTGCCAGACAGCATTTGTCCAGTGGTATCCAGAATTTAGTGAAGAACTAGCCTAACTTCATACCTGGCCACAGACTGTGCTTCTGGATAACGACCCAGCATTGCTAAACATTCTGCTTTGAGGATTTTGAAGCGATGGCAGGCAGGGGCAAATTCTAGGGCACGGTCCATGCAGAAAACAACCTAAGTGGGAAAAAAAAGAAAGCAAATAAGGGTTTTTGTTTTTTTTTTCTTGCTGCTCTAGGTACCAAATTTTTTTAAAATTGAAGTACAGCTGATTTATAAGCAAAAAAAGTTCTTTATCCTGGTCTTCGCTTTAGTCTGGTCACAGGCAACAGGCAGATTGAAAGGAAAATAATATCAGAGTTTAAGACTATACCTAATTCATTTGATTAAACCACTGAAATGAAGAAAGCAGCTGATCCAGATAATAATGACAGCAAACATTTCATGAATACTTTATACATTAATCTATTTAATGCTTATAACAATTTTATTAAGTAGGCAGTATCACTACCCTTATTTTACTGATAAGAAAACTAGAGATTAAGTAACTTGTTCAAGGTCACCAAAGCCAGAAGTAGTAGGAACAGGATTCGATATTGTTCAATTCAGTCTAAGACTCCAGAGCCCATAACCTAATCACAATGGTAAGGTGCCTCCACAGGGAATCACACCAATAGTGAATGTGATCAAAACTCACATTCTTCTAGTACAAATACTATCATTTTCTACTTTGCATAATCTATCATGCTAAGCCTAGTAAGACAAGGAATACCAAAAAGAACCCAATAAAGAATCACTGCTCCCAATATTACTGAAATTGCTCACAGTTCCCTCCTTCCCATGAAGCTCATGTCTCACTGAGTACCCTGGTAACCACTCTTCCATTTCCATTTCAGTATAAAAATATACCAATAAAATAGTTCATTTTCAATGGTCCCAGACTATATAAACCAAAAAGCAAGTTACACACACACATACACACACATGGCTGGGATTATTTCAATCTTTCAGCTTCATAAAGGCTCTCCATATATTCCTGTTTTTTCTGAGTTGTTCTCTGAACTTTCACTTTTGGTTTATCTGCTATCCCTCGGAGATTCTTCCTGAACCATATTCTCCTCCAAGAATAACAGACCCAACTTCAAAATCTGGAGTTAAGGGACACCCGCTCCTTCTTGAGAATCTAGCCATGGGGATTAGGAAGAGATGAAGTCTGAAGACTTAGAAGCAGAAATAACTCGAAGTTCATCCACAAAAGACTAGTTAGGTAATGTAGATATTCATATGATGGAATACTATGTGGATCTAAAATGGAATGAAGACACTCTCCATACACTAATATGAAAAACTTGTAAGGCCTATTGAGTGAAAAAGCACAAGGTAAAGAATTTTGTATAGTGTATTACCTTTCATGCAAAAAGAAAATTAAGCATCCATATTTGTATATGCTTATTTATGTAGAACAAAACTGTGGCAGGAAATGGAAGAAATGAGGACAGTGGTTACCCTAGGGGGCAGAGAGAAGACAAGTTTAGGGAAGCACTTACCACTATTCGTTTATACTTATTAGCTTTTGAGGCAAGAATAGCACCTGTTCAAAATTTAAATTTAAAATTTAAAAATATGGGGAGGCAGGTTAACACCATGAAGTGTTGCACTGGGAAGACCTTCCACGATATCAAGATTAGTGGTGGGAACGCCTCTCCTTTAATGGCACAGGTTACTGCCCTGGAAGTTCTAAGAGCAATATGAAAATTCAGGTGTTGTATAGGGTAGCCATGGTGCTAACTTTTCCCCCCAGTTAGAAAAATAATTGGGCGGTGAGCAGTCAGTCAAAATGTCAGTAGCCACACCCTGCTGCCTTCACAAGGTTCTGTATGGAGATGGTTCGGCTCATGGTGGGGAGTGTCAGTTGGAACCTTAGTGCTTCACTTCCCGCCCCCCACCTCCCCATGACTATGGACAGCTGCAGGCAAAGAAGATCTTTGTTTCCTCCAAGTTCATCTGTTTCCCTTACCAGGATCATAATTCTTCATTTGTGACATCACCATGAACTACAGTGGGGAGGGGCTGGGATGTCACAGAGGATTCAGTCACAAACTGGGGATTCTGGCTCCAGAATGGGCAAGAAAGAAAAGAAATCCAAAAGACCGCCTTTCAAGACAAAGCTTTTGCCTATGTAAACCTCAGAAAACGTGACAGGACACAGAAGTGCTTTTCAAACACACATACATAAAAACAAAGCAAAACAAAACTTATGAATCACACTACAAAGCCACTGTGGTTATTAAAACCAATGGACAGAGGAGGGATGCTAATAAGTTAATGCTGGGACTCTACATAAGCTAATCAGATATATTTATTACCAAATAAAAGACCATTACAGTATGGGACCTAAGAATGATACTTAACTGTACCCTCTTATCAAACATTTGAGTATCTGCTACAGAAAGCACTGAGCAAATTCCCACGTACGAAGTGACAACTCCATTCCTTGACCGATACACTTATTTTAAGTGATCCTGAAAACTGATCCTGATCAGTGGGCCAGTGACATCCCCTTCTGAAACTCTAGTGAAAGCTACTTCCTACTTCCCAGTACCATCTAAAGAAGGGAATCAGGAATTACACAGACGAGGAGTAACCACTACAAAGATCTAGAAAGATATATGGAACTTTTATACCTTTCCCATGTTTCACACAGGCCAATCCCTTTGGCACGTACATTTCCCATGTACTATCGCACAGCTCCATAAAGGACAGTAGTGTGCTTTTGTAGCAAGGCCTAATGTCAAAACAGTAGTGATGAAAGGCTATGTACACTATCCAAAAATGTAAAAGAGGTCTCTTTCTTTTTTTGATTTATCGCTCCATCCAGTTCACACAAAGCAGGAGTTAAAGCTAGTTCTCATTATTCTAATAAAAACGGGTTAGCCAAATCTAACATTTAATTCCAACTGGCTTTTTCCTTCTACTACTACTACTAACCCCACACTTTGAGGCTACTACCTTGTATCAGAAACAGGAACTAACTCAAATAACAAACTTGTATTTGTTTTTCATTATAAAGTGAAATATAATTAAGAAAATAAGCACCTTAGCAAAAAAAAATTAATGCTGTTGATGATGTGGAGCAACAGGAATGCTCGTTCACTGATGGTGGGAATACACAATGATACAGCCACTTTGGGAGATGGTTCAGTCGTTTCTTGCAAAATGTAACATATTTTTACCATACAATCAAGCGATAGCACTTCTTGATATTAACCTCAAAGAGTTCAAACTTATGTCCACACAAAAACCTGCAAGTGGATGTTTACAGCAGCTTTATTTATAATTACCCAAAACTTGATTTTAACAAATGTACCTCTGGTGGGGGAATGCTGATAATGGGGGAGGCCATGCATGTGTGAGGCAGGGGACATATGGGAAATCTACCTCCCTCTCAATTTTGCTGTGAACCTAAAACTATTTAGAAAACAAAACCAAAACCAAATAAAAGTCTTAAAAAAAAGTAAAAGAAAAAGTCAAAGCCAAATAAAAGTGATAATCTACTATTCTAACTCTTCTATACCACACTATTCTAATTATTTCAAACACACACATACACACACACACACACACACACACACACGGAACTTTGTGAGAAAGGACAGATGAAATTTCCTCATAGCTGTACTTTACCTTCCGAAAATCCCGCTTCTCAAAATCCGTTTCTGCTATTTTCTCATATTCTATGACTGCATTAGCATTCTTGAACTATACCAGAAAATCAGATAAGAGAAAGTTTTAATGAAGTTGTAGATTCAACAACCACAAAAACCAACAAGGCCTTGTGAATTTGCTGTATCAAAAAAATCAGAGCCACAGACTTTTCACACATCAAGTTGGTGAAGATGTAGCTGAGACTCCTTAGCAGAAATCAACCTTCACCCTCAATTTGAACTTAAAGTCAGAAACATAAGAGTCACAACTCGATATACAAAGTAAAAGGCACTGTTAGGGGCTGAGCAGAAGTTCTGAGATTCTCACTAAAACTCATCCAGGAGTAAACTGGGTATATGTAAAGATGGAACTAAATTTGAACTAAATCTGAATTTACTCAACATTTTTAACCTCACTCAAATCAGTTCTTTGACACATCTGCTCATCTCAGAAACCCTCCAATTTTTACAGATTTCCAAAGCTGTAAATCATATTCAAAACTCCTTTTACAGATAAGGAAGCTGAGTTTCAGAGAGACTATGAGACTTGCATACAGTCACCCAGGTGTGACTGACGGTAGAAGTGAGACAAGATCTCAGTTCTGACTCTCAAGTCCCTATTCCTCTCAAATATACCACAGACTCTTTCAATACAGCCAGGACCAGACCCATACCTCCTGCTGTGCCTGAGCATTTTTGTGATCCAGCTCTAGGGCCCTCTGGAAACTACGACATGCTGCCATGGCATTCCCTAGAGATAGGTGGCATTTGCCTTCTCTTAGATGTCCCTAGAAGAAACACAAAGAGGGAAGAAAAGGAGCATGATTGGCCAAGCAGAGAGAAATCAACAACAGCAACAAATACCCACACAAAACCAGCAAAGGATGCAAATGGCCAGAGCAGCAGTTCTCAACCAGGGGTGATTCTGTCCTCCATGGGACACTTAGCAATGTTAGAGATAATTTTGGTTGTCACAACTGGGAAGGGAGGGGGTGCTACTCCAATCTAACGGTTAAAGGCCAAGGACGCTGCTAAAAATGTCCTACAATACATAGGACAGCCCCCTGCAATAAAGAAGTATCTGGCCCACAAAGTTAACTGTGTCAAGATTGAGAAACCTTGGGCTAGAAGCACTCAACTACAGCAACTCAATGCACCCCTCCGCCTCCAAGAGCCCCATCACATACCCGGACAAAACTGTCATCCAACCTCACTGACTGCTGTGCGTCTCCAAGAGCTTCCCGGAACCTTCCAAGCATCATCAAGGTGGCTGCTCGATTCCCATAATAGCTAGCATTTTTAGGACATTTATCTACAGGAAAGGCAGAATAATGTAAAAGTTTAGCATGGGTCACCACTTCAAAACCACAGGGGCCAACTCCCTCAGAACTGTATCAAAGCACTCAAACATTAATAGGAATGATGACATACTCTCTGTAAAAGGCCATGGCCAAATGTTTGACTACTTGCACAAATGGACAGGAGCAATGGTGCAACCAATTTAAAGAGAAAAGTTATTTAAAAATAACTCATACTCAGCTTTAAGGTGCACTGATTATCTTTTGAGGGGTCAGCATATTTATCTCCTTAATGATTTGTGTTTTATGTAATAAGATATGAAAATGAATTTGCATTTGTTGAGTTAGGGGTAGGGAGCCTGTAAGCAAGTTAGGTGAGAAAAATGCTGACACAGGATTAAAGTATGCTGGCAGATCGTGAGCACGGAGGTAGCTAAAATTTGTTAATATCTACAAAGACTATTTTCTAAGACAGTAAGTGAAGTGACGATGACTGAGATGCATTTACATGGGTATCTTTTTGCCGCATTATCTGGATTTCTGGAACTGCCTTTAACTTGACAAATGAAGAACCACCTGCTTGAGCTAGAAAAAGTTATCGCTCATGAGGTCATTAAGCCCAAAAGAGTTCACACAGTAAGTTATTAACCCACTAAGCAAAAAGATACTTCTTACAAAGGAGCTAATTATAATAGTCTTTGGCAAATTATTTTCCAGCGTATTCTCACCTATGGCTTTTGTATAATAGTTATAAGCTTCATTGTAATCTTTCTTGGCATAGTATGCATTTCCTTGTTCCTTGAAAGACTCTGCTTCTCTGAAAAGGAAAGAGAAAGAGAAAGAGAAAGTTACCATACCTAGGGAATAACCTCTGTAATCTCATGGGAGCAATCTCTGGTCTAGAGCTCCCGGCATACTGAGCTGAAAGTTAATGTGATACCTGAAGGAATTTATAGATTTGTTCGATGGGCTGATGGACCAAAAGGAGGTACTAATGAAAGAATCCACACTCTTCAGATGCTATTTTTTGTTACTTAGATACATTCAAACTAAATCAAGAAACTTCTCTCATGTTGCCTGACTTTCCTCACTTCTCCCGCCTGTGGTCATTCCCCATAGGATAGGCACATTTAGACATTCTCTCACAGAGACGGAATTTTTGTATTTATTTTCTTTCCACTGTGTCACAACTTCTGCCTCTTTAGCAAACTTACAAAAAAAATCAGTTAAAGGTAATTCCATTCAAGGGCAATTGATTTCTCAACATGAAATGAGTCATATTCTTGGAGTTTTAATGATTTATTGTCTTGAAAACTGGGTACTGCATTTGTCACTGGAAGGACAAGCACAGCAGAAGCAGGTGGCAAAGGTGTTAAAAGCACAGCACATTGGTGTTCAAGACAGAGAATGGAGCTGAGTGACAGCAGAGACAAGAACTTAGATGACAAGGACATACAAGATACAGGCTGCCAGAGCCATGCTCTAAGAAGTACCCATCTACTGGTGTTCTCTCTGTGCATCACATCTATGTGGATACTTGTTGCCCCCTCTACCATCCTTCTAGTACCCTGCATAACCACCAAATGGGTAATATCAAAAAAAATTTTTTTTGCCCTACCCCAAAATTCATTTTTTGAAGCTATGTCATGAGACAAACTGTACTTTCCAAAAGGAACAATGTTATATAATTGGGAATTATATTGCTGACCAAGGAACTAGAATCAAATCAGGTATGACCAACAATGTCTTAAAGAACAATAAGCTTATATAACCTCTATCAAAGATAGCCCCAAATCAGTCTAACAACCAATCTGAGTGAAAAAGATGAATCCTTTACCAAAATGATTACTGCAACATAATTAAATATCTGAGTACTTCTGTTTTAAGGAATAATCTTTCTTTTTCTGTCCTCTACACATGCTAAAAAGAACCTAGTTCAAGGGCTGACTGGGGTAGGGACAAAGGTGCACAGTTCCTAACTTTGGTGATAGTCTAGGAATTTACAGCTTGATTCCATGGATACTGGCACTGGCGAAATTTGTGATGTTATTTACTTAACGTATTTTAAACTACGAACTGGCAAAGCTGCCCTCCTTTTCTTAAGGCAAGCTCCCTTTCCATTCTTCTCCATCACTGTCCTGGCAAGCTCTACTAACATGAAAAGTCTGCTGGCAGAAAGGAGAAGGAAGATAGGAATGACCTATAAATGTTGACAGATTTGAATAATTTTATTATACCAACTATCATAATGTTGTAAAGAGACCCTCTGCTATTAAAAGTTCTCAAGAAGGAAAAAAAAATTCTCAAGAATCCCCTAACTGCAAGACTTATAAGACCAAGTGCAATCTTTCTACAAGGTGAACACCATCTTGTAACCCTAAATTAAGCCAAGCACTATAAAAACTATGAAGAACCTACCCTTTAAGAGGAGAGATGCCAGAAGATTTAAAGAAAGGGCTTCCTCAACCTGGATGTCAAAAGCTGAGTCAAACCACAATGAAGAAACAGGAGTAAGTTCAAAGGAAACATTAGGTCCAAATTGTACCCGAGAAAATCTAGTCTTCTCTTCAGTCGGCTAGTAACCAAGACCACACAAATTCTTGAGGAAAACCGAAGGCATCGAGGCACCTGGACAGATGTTGTGCCAGCAATATAAAGCTTGTTAGTCAAGGTAAAACATTCTTGTAGAGCTACAGAAAGGTACACTATCTTATCAGGTGCCTGTTTTTCAAAGAGGAAATTAAGGCTTAAAGGTTAAAAACTCGCCTGAGGTCAGGATGTCGACCCACACCTGTGAGATCCCAGAGCTGCACACCATCTACTAAGTTAAGCTCCACCTCTAAGGCTCACCTCTATTTTCTAAGACTTTAAGAATGAATCTGTACTGCTAACAACAGAATCCGGCAATGAATATGAACTTCTTTCAACTAAGACACAAAATAGCTCCAGAGTATAAATTCCAACTCCAGAACCACATTCTGGATTTAATCAAGTCAAATGGCATTCCTAACAATCAGTCTTAGAGAGAGCAGGGCTCCTTTCTCTTTAAGATCCAAGACCTAGTGAACTGGACTTTGCCTCCCCCAAGAAATGCATTTCATTTTAGTAAATGGTGAGTAGATTCCATTCTAGAGCAAACAAAGCGAGTAATGTAGAGTCAGCCCACAGCAGAAAGAACAAGAAGAATTGTGTTGTGACAAGTTACCATGTTTTTAACTTCACACTGCACAGCATCAGGCCAGAATTAGCTATTCCCACACAACTGCCTCATGAAAAGGACTTATTTTCATAGAAACATGGTTGATTAACAGCTGCCTAAACAATAGGCACTTAGTGCTTTTAGACTGAATGCTTTTTTTTTTTTCTGCCTCCAGGTCCAACGCCCAAAGTGGAGTCCCTCCTTCATTTTCAACCTCCCCACCAAATACATGACAAGCTTTAACCAATGGGCCTGACCCTGCGAGACCAGCCGAGGAAAGCGTGGATCTTTGGAATCCAGCATGGCAGCAGCAAGAACTGAACAAGGCTGCATCAGGAACAATTCCAGGGTCAAATCCATTCAAGTCCTGCCTGGGAGTCTGAGAAAGGGCTGAAGCTTGTTCAAGTTGCCTTTACAGCAAAGGGAGTGAAGGATGAGATGTCAAAGGCGTGGGACTGGAAAAGAAGGAGAAGAGCTGGTTAACACTGGAGTTGAGGGCAATCTCGCAGTGGCATCTGTCACTCCACTCACTCCTAGGGTCAATTCATTTAAGAACCAAGTGAGGTTACAACATGTATCTAAAACACATCAGTACTGAGAAAGGAAGAATTAGGATTAATTGGATTCTCCTGGACCAGTTAAAAAAGGAAAGCATTCCAAAAGGAACTAAATTAAACTACAGATTATTTTCTATGGCCACAAAAAAAATTCAGACTAGACCCTGAAATATAATACCCCATCAAAACATAGACTTGGCTGTAACTGACCTGATGGTGCGTTTAACAGGTACACTGTACCTCTAGGACATTTTCAAAATTTCAAAACACTTGCGAAGAAGATCTTCACAACCTTCTGAAGTTATGGTGGTAATATCACGTGTCCTCCAACAGAGGAACATTAGTGAGGCACCCAAGATAGCTGCACAGGTTTCCTCACCCCATGTTTTTTCCACTAGATTCTGTTAATAGTAAGGTTTTTAGATTAAAACCAATTTATCTAGTTCTCCACCCAAATCTTGGATAACTCCAAGCAGAATAAGCTTCCCCTCTCTGATTCACCAAGAGATGGTGGGAATGACTCTACCTCCACCTTTCTAGTCCTTTCACCTTAATAGCCAGCAACAAATTCTTGTGAAAACAACTACTGAACGGTTTTCCAAAAACTCTGCCCTCTTTGTATGTATAATGGGAGGGTCATCATACATACATCATGTCCCACAACAGGATCAGCACTAGAGGGCCAGGCCGGCCTTCCCTCTGACAGGCACAGGTAAGGAGAGCACATCCTCTTGCTCTGCTTTGCTATTTTAAAATGTATTTATTTTTCAGAAATAATCTCATCAATTACAAAGCTGCAGTATGAAAGCCTGCTCTTCTAACATTACATGTGCGTTAAAACTCTGCATATCCTCTGATCACGCAGTTTTATTCTCTCTCCCAATTTGGCATTCGTTCATCACAGATGCTAATTACACCAACAAATACTGCCAAGGGACTCATTTGGTATCACACAGGTCTTAGCAGGGCTCAGCATCATGTGATCAAATCAGACAACTCGGGCTTATGATCACTAGCCAACTCTGCACATTTACAGCTCAGCTAAATTAAAAACACATTAAAACACCATGAGTGACATCGCAACATGCCCCAAATTAGATGCTCTACATAAAAACTTCCATTTTTCTCTTAAATACTTTCAAGTTGAATATTTAGGCAGTATCTTTGCCTTAGGGCAACTAGTCTATCTTCTAGCAATTAAAGAGGTATTTAGAAACTTTAGTCAGCTTTCACTAATGCAGGATTCACTGGGGGGTAGTTTTTTAATACATCTCAACATGACTGGGTTCTCTCTGGAATTACTTCACAAACATATTTGTAAAATATCATTTTTAGATTTATTCTACCTCAGTGCATGAAAAATAAAGACTAACATGGTTTCGTCTTTCTACATTTTCAACCTAGGAAATACTAATTAGATTTCTGAATGACCAGGAAAAAAAAAACCACAGTGGTTTTATTTCAAGCATTTGGCTAGAATAATGTATTTTTAATAAAGCTCAGCTCTTCCAATAGCCATTAATAACAGTTTAAATCAAAACAGATGTAGCAGTTTGAATGAGGTCTTTTCCCTGCTTTTTCTTTGCATTTTCTTGATGTATTTTGCTACTCCAGAAGTGGGAGAAAAATCTAGCTTTGCTAAAATTACAACGCAGGACTAAACGATTTCTTCTGTTAGAGTAGATGAGTGTTTAGGGGCCTCGGATGTGGAGACTTTTTATTGGCAGGAAGAACCTTAGAGAAAGATATCTTTCCTTTTTCTACTCTCAGGCTTTTAATAATAATACTTCATACTGCCAATGAGTATCCTTTATACATTCCTATTATATTTACTATTCCAAAATGTCACCCTTACTCTCTTGTATTCAGTCAAATTTACTAGCTGCTTGTTGATCTAGAAATGTCCTCCACCCTTCAGAATTTACGGGATCTTTGCCAGTCTTAGAGTAGAAATTCCTTCTTCCTTCCCACAGTCCGAAACCGCTTGTCCCCAAAGGCATGTCACAGGGCCTGTTTCATGTTGTACTCTCTCTGACCTTCATGAGAGTAAAGTAAAAGGAA